ACAAAGTAGAAAATTACAGAACAAAACTCAGAATATCAAGAATAAAGGAAGAACAAAAGAAATGACAATATCTGGGAAAATATAATATTCTCATGAGTTTTTAAATATTCTCAATGATTAAAAGTACAAGATATATAATAATTTCCTGTGGAGTTTAATATAGAGAAAGAGAATATAGAAGATAAGTATATCATAAAGGAGAAAAGATAATGGGACCCAAATGGTGGTGAAAATGCTTGATGTTACAAAACTTAATAGTTACTAATAGAATAAAAAACAAATAACTAAGCTGTTGGATTAAGATAAATCTGAACATAACACATCTACATTCACCAGTTGAAAAACAGAGACTCTGATAAATGTGTTAATTTTCTTTTAGAACACATATCGCAGTTGTATTCTTAAAACACTAAGAAATTTTTTTAAATAAATTAAATGTGAACCATTTAACTCAAGTACTCTTCCCACATAATCAATTTATACATGTTTGGCAAAAGTGCCCTGACTCAAAACCTTGAACCCAAACACATTGCAATACCATACGTATATAATTTATTAAAAATAGTTACAGTCGGGCTCAGTGGCTTAGCCTGTAATCCCAGCGCTTTGGGAGGCCGAGGTGAGTGGATTGCCTGGGACCTCTGGTTCGAGACCCGCCTGGGCAACTTGGCGAGACCTCATCTCTACAATAAATCAAAAATTAGCTGTGCATGGTAGCATGTGCCTGTAGTTCCAGCTACTTGGAAGGCTGAGGCAGAAGGATTGCTGGAGCCCAGCAGGTCGAGGCTGCAGTGACCAGGAGCGGCCACTGCACTCCAGTCTGAGTGACAGAGTGAGACTCCAACTCAAAAAAAAAAAAAAAAATAGTTATAGATGTAGTGGACAAGCTCTAAAATTGATCCTGTAAACAGAACAAGTAGAAAAGCAATAAGGTATGTTGAAATGTGGTTAAGATCATGGGCTCTCCAGTCAAACGTTTAATTCAAAGCTCATTCTACCCCTTACTTAATTATTTACTAAATTACTTAATCTCAGTTTTCTCAGCTATAGAACTTGATATTTCAATAAAACCGAGTTCAAAGAGTAAATAAAAAAACTAAGAAATTGGTTTAATTTTGGTTACTAGCTAAAATATAAACCCAATGAGTATAGGACCTATGTCTGTCTTGTTCTACACTATGTCTACAGAGATGTCTGATACGTGATTGTTAACTAGTGGACATTTCTATATTTACCTTGAAACTCCATTGTGTTTCTCTGGCCAAACTTCACTGAGATGACTAAATAAAATGTTGGCTATAAAGTCCACATCTATAGAGTACTCAGAATTGTTAACATACCACAAAAGTTAGATACATTGCATTCATGACCATCATTTTTATTACAAATTACATGAAACAGAAATGTAACAATTACTTTGGGTTCACAAATGAGAGGTTGACTAGAATTAGTGGCAACTAGCTCTATCTTTTGGTAAAAGCTTCACAGAAGACTTGATATCAGAGGGTGCTTTGAAGAAGTAGGATTTTGGTATTAAATGTGAGATAACATCAAGCAAAAGTAAAAAGAGGGAGAAAGACATGTCTTGGTTTACAGTGCTTGAGTTCTGGGGTATGCATCTGACTCCAGACATACTCTGAGCCAGCTACTGATAGGTTCTGTGGACTGAGCTTATGAGCTTTAATTTTATCCCATAGGCAACAGGTGATCTCTCTTGATCCAAATCCCATATATTTAGGGAGGGAACAGGATTTTTGTTGGTGCTGCTCAGCATTCAGTCACCACCTACAGAGAAGTTCCTTGATTTCATTTTTGGCATCACTTTTACTTGATCTTTAATACTGCTCCTTAGTTGACCTCCATTGTAACTCCAGGAGTAATGCATGATTTTTTAAAGTTAATCTGCCTCCCTGGAATTCCTGGCAACAATAGTTGGCCAGGAAACAGGCTTGTGATCATTTCAAGGTAAGATGACATCCTGAGGAGCCTTCCCTTTACTGGGAGAGGTCAGAAAGTATTCTCTTTCTTCTCCTGGTGGTTTGTTTTGAGAAGTGAGACTTGTCGTTTATGCTTTGTGGAGTCTAACAATGAAGCCTACAATATGGAAGGCAGGATGGAGACATGGAGAAATATTCCTTTCTTGTGATGTTGTTTGAGCCCATAAATCAGCCTCCCTGAAGTCGGTCCCATCTCTTGTCCTTGATTCACCTGAGCCAGGATATTCTCTTCATAATTGACAACCATTGAAGTTGGACTTTTTCTGTCACTGGCCACACAAGAGTTGACACAGATAAAGAGGACACTGCAGATCGTTCCCGTCGGTGCTTTTGAAAATTAATATAGAGATGAGGGCATCAGGAGATAAGCATTTGCAGATCCAAATCCATTACTTACCAGATGATAGAACTTTGTTCACCTGAGTCTTGACTCTTTAGTTTAAGTGTTTTTTCGCTGTTATATACTAACTCCAGTGACTTTAACCAGTTCCTAGCTACTACCTGTTTTTGACTCATAACCCAGACCCCAACTTCCTGTTCATTCCCAACCTGCATTCAATCATCCATGCTAGTTGGAAGAGTCAATACATTGCTATCCACCCTTTAACAGTTACTCTTTGTTTTCCTTCTGAAGTTCAAAATATTTCTACTTCCATTCTTGGGTTTTCGACTTCCAGCTCTTGACTCTTTCTAGTCTCATGTTTACTCTGCCCCTCTAAAAGCTTAATTTACAGCCATGTCAAAGTATTTTAATTTGTAGTTCTCCAGATGCACAATACTTACCCCAATAATTTGCTGTGGCAGGCTCTTTTGTGTGTATGTGATGTTCTAACACCCTCACTTAAGTAAAACATACTCATTGATTGTATTGGTCTCTGTCGTCAGTCGGTCTTTGTCAATGTCAAGGATGGAAGGAATGAAGCCTCACTGAATGACATTAAGCCCCCCCACACACAAATACACACACACACACACACACACACACACACACACACACACACACACACCTCTTGATATCAGATTCATCACCTTGACTTTAGGCAAACATTTTACTAACCTGAGAAAGGAGGCGGGGCTGCCCCAGCACCAAGCTGGATATCCACTAAAAATAGAGGGAAAAAATGGAGGATGAAATAAGATGAATCATAAACTCTTCTGTAGCTTTTCTAGTTTTTAGATGCAACCAATGAGAATAATATAATTCTACATATTTCATAAGGTAAAGTTCTTTTTTTGCACACTAATCTACTAGTGAACGCCAATTAAGTCATGGGTCACTCACTGCTCATTCAGAAAGTTGACCAGAATAAGAAACACATCATTCCAATATTCTTTCTACTAGCAGGCCAATATCTTAGGAATCTTGAGAGCTCCAACAATATTATATCATACTGTCCTATATAAATTATGATCAAGGTAAATGTGTTTAGATGTGAAATGTCAACATTAAATGAGTAAATTAAACATATATTTTCAAACATGATGGCACCAGGACTGTTGATAGTGCATAAATTTGGATACATTTATAATGTGATAGATGATTTGTCAATTGGCACTACCATCTTGGAAAATAAGTGAACAAGGCCTCCCATGAGGCCTTCAACACGATCTTACACTCTTATCTAAAATCCCTGATTTTAAAGTCCTCTTGAATTTTGCAGCCCGCTCCTTTGTCAGCCCCTCAGTCTCCACATCACCAATGTAGAATGAATCAGTGTTTCCCGTAACCAGTGAGGTCCCACAATCGGGTTTCTGGCCATTTGACTTCACAGCAGAACATCGCCTTCATGGAATACCACACTCATTCAGAGACCCAGCCATCCACAATCTCCCCATTTCATCCAGAATTTGCCAATGAAAGAACCAGTGTGGTCTTGATGCCCAGGAAAATCCTTTTCAAATGAAAGAAAAGTAAACATTGTAAAAATGTACTGATGTTTACAGGGAAATGAAGGGTGTGGTGCTTACTCAAAAAATTTATTCTGTACTGGCAGTGAACCAGACTACGCTCTGGCCACAGAGCATGCAAGCAATGGGGAATGAGACATCCACACTGCTTCTGCCTATATAAGAAACCACAAAGAGAGTCAAGAAGTTGCACACACACCAAAAAAACTGGGTAAGGGGCACCCTAGTCAACAAACCGTGCTAGGAAAACTGGCTAACCATAGTCAGAAGGAAGCTGGATCCACCATACACAAAAGTGAACCCAAAAAGAATTAAATACTTAAAGATAAGGCCCCCAAATAATAAAAATCTTAGAAGAAAACCTAGGGAACACTCTCTGAGATGTCTGCCTAGGCAATTAATTCACAGCCAAGTCCTCAAAAGCAAAAGCAGAGAAAACTAAAACTGACAAGTGGGCTCTTACCAAGTTAAAAAGCTTCTGCACAGCAAAATACATCATCAACAGAATAAAGACACTACACAGAGAATAGGAGAAAATATTCACAAACTATGCATCTGACAAAGGCCTAATGTCCAAAATCTATAAGGAACTCAAATGAATCAACAGGGGGAAAAAATAGCCCCATTAAAAAGTGGGCATATGGAAGATCAATTTTTAGGTCTTTTAGAAATCACCACACTGCTTTCCACAGAGATTGTACTAGTTTACATTTTCACAAACAGTGCAGAAGCATTCCCTTTTCTCCGCATCCTCTCCAGCATTTGTTGTTTTTTGAGTTATTAATGATGGACATTCTGACTGGAGTTAGGTGGTATCTCAATGTGGTTTTGATTTGCATTTATTTGATGATTAGTGACGCTGAGCATTTTTTCATGTATCTGTTGGTGGCTCGAATGTCTTCTTTTAAGTGTCTATTCATATATTTTGCCCACTTTTTAATAGAGTTGTTTCTTTTTTTCTTTCAGCACGTTGAGTTATTTGTAGATCCTGGATGTTCGGCCTTTGTCAGATATATAGTTGGCAAATATTTTTTCCCATTCTGTGGACTGTCTCCCCACTCATGCTGCCCGTAGAAAGTGAAATGGATTTTTTAAATGTGGTATATATACATGGTGGAATATTATGCAGCCATAAAGGACCAAAATTATAGTCTTCACAGCAACTTGGATGGATTTAGAGACTAACATACGCAGTACTCTATCACAGAAACAAAGAACTGCATACCATTTGTTCTCACTCATAAAGAGACCCTGAACATTTATCATAATACTATATGAAATGGGTTGGCGGTAGTGGGACACTGCCAGGAGAAGAAGAGGGACACATAACATCAACAAGGGTACTTGATCCCAAATCAGGCGAAGTAAGAATCAATGGGAGGCCCAAACTTACCTGTTCAATGACTACTTATGTACCTAATCCTGAATTGTACCCCACATCTTTAAAATAAAAAAAATTTTTTAAGTGGGCAAACAACATGAACAGATACTTCTCAAAGGAAGACACACAAGCAGCCAATAAGCATGTGAAAAAATGCTCAACATCACTAATTATCAGAGAAATACAAGTCGAAGCCACAATGAAAACACCATCTCACATCATTCAGAATGGTTATTATTTTAAAAAATTCAAAAAGCAGCACCATGTTGGCAAAGCTATACAGAAAAGGGAATACTCATACACTGTTGGTGGAAATGAAAGCTTAGTTCAACAATTGAGGAAAGCAGTTTGGAGATTTCTCAAAGAATTAAAAATAGATCCACCATTCAACCCAGCAATTCCACTACTGGGTACATACCCAAAGTAGCATCCATCATTCTACCAAAAAGACATTGGCACTTATACGTTCATCACAGCACTATCCACAATAGCAAAACACGGAACCAACCCAGGGGTCCTTCAATGGTGGACTGGATAAAGAAAATGTGGTACATATACACCATGGAATACTATGCAGCCATAAACAAGAACAAAATTATGGTATTTGCAGCAACATGGATGCAGTTGAAGGCCATCATTCTAAGTGATTTATCAAAGAAACAGAAAACTGAATGCTGCATGTTCTCACTCACATGAGAGGTAAACACTGAATATAAATGGGCATGATGAGGGGAACAATAGACACGGGGGACTACTAAAGGGGAGAAAGTATTGAAAAACCACATACCACGCTCACCACCTGGAGAGTGAATTCATTAAAGTTCAGACTTCAGGCCAGGTGCAGTGGTTCAAGCCTGTAATCTCAGCACTTAGGGAGACCAAGGAGAGAGGACTGCCTGAGCCCAGGAGTTTGAGACTAGCCTGGCCAACTTGGCAAGACCTCGTCTCTCCAATAAATCAAAAAATTAGCCAGGAGTGGTAGCGTGTGCCTATAATTCCAGCTACTTGGAAGGCTGAGGCAGAAGGATAGCCTGAGCCCAACAGATCAAGGCTGCAGTGGCCATGAGTGTGCCACTGCATTCCAGCCTGGGTGACAGAGTGAGACTCCAACTCAAAATAAAGTCCAGACTTCACCATCCCACAATAGACCTATGTAACAAAATTGTTCATGTACCTTTTGAATCTAAAATTAAATTAAATTTAAATAAAAATCACTGTAAATTATTTTTTTAAAATACAGCAAGATTATAGAAATCATTTTATATAAAAGCAGAAATATATTTCTTCTTCCAACAATAAGGCCCAGTGATTTTAATATCATTGGTTGACCAGATTCTATGTGGGATATAGTGGAAAGTTGCATAGTAAAAATTCTGGATAATAATTGATAGTATAAAACACTGATACCTGCTATTGGAGATGGCATTTGCTTTATATCATTATCAATGTATCAAAAGAAATCTTTACATTTTCTCTTTATATTTGCTCTTGGATAAAAACATACAGATTTTTGTTCCTTTAAGGATGAAAATCTAAGCCAGGCCTGGTGACTCACTCCTGTAATCCCAGCACTCTTGGAGGTTGATGCTAGAGGATTAGTTCAAGACCAGCCTGGGCAACACAGGGAAACCTCGTCTCTACAAAAAAATCAAACAATTAGCCAGGCATGATGGTATGCACCTGTAGTCCTGGCTGCTAGGGAGGCTGAGGCAGAAGGATCACCTGAGCCCAGGAGATCAAGGCTTCAGTGAATCGTCATCATGCCACTGCGCTCCATCCTGAGCAACAGAATGAGACGCCAACTCAAAATAAAATAAAAATCTGTACTGAAAATTTTAAACATTATATTTCACATAATTAAAATGTCACATATCAGAAGAAAACAAATACTGTAACAATCTAAGATGCTAAGACATTTTACAGAATGAAGGTGGACAGGGGAGGGTGCATGTGGAGATGAGACCTGGGAGGGTTGAGTGTCATTCAACCCTGTGGTGTGACCACAATCTCTAGATCCAGCCCCACCACATGTGCCTGACCTAAAGATGAGGGCAGGAAGGGGAGGCACAGTCATGAAGATGATCTCCAGCCCTCCAGACACTATGGTGGGGGAAAGGGTGGAGATGGGATGGTATAAGGATTCAGTGGGAGAAGGAGAACAAGTAGCTGAAGCCCAGAAGAGACCATCAATGCTATGACCATATTGTCCCAGACTGAAACATATCAACAGGAACAGGTGAAATTCATTTGAAATCAATGCCCAATATTCCCTAATATATGCTCATATATTTATTTGTTCAACTAATCTCTTATACTTGGGTATTCAAGTTTCTTTCCTACTATACACATAATGCTTCAAAGAATATCACTGCACACAATTTCCCTTCCTATAGATGCTTTTATTTTATATTATAGATTTCTAAAAGTGACTTTTTGTTCAAGAAACGATTTCTAAATTAATGTACGAGGTCCCACAAATAGGTTTGCAAATTATCCTAGAAAAGGTGCTATATAAGCCACTGTTGAATATCACTATGGTCACCTTTGAAGTACTCCCTTTGAGAAGCTATAAACCAATGCCAATGCCTAGTTCACCCATCAAAGCAGTTCTGGAATTCTTTTTTTGGAATAGTCATCAGAGCCATCATTATTATTTGTTGCGGCCTATTAAGCTCACAAACTTGCCACTCCGTGCTTACATTGGCAGCACTGTACAAATAACTGTATTGGAACATCCTCCCTAATCACCAGACCTGACCCCCGGTGACCTTTTTTCTTTACCCAAAGATAATGGAAATAATGAAAGGAAGATATTTTGATGACATTCAGGACATCAAGGGTAATACGACAATGGCTCCGATGGCTATTCCAGAAAAAGAGTTCCAAAATTGCTTTGACCAGTGGACTAGGCACAGGCATCAGTGCATAGCTTCCCAAGGGGAGTCCTTTGAAGGTGACCAGAGTGATATTCAGTAAATGAGGTACGTAGTGCTTTTTCTAGGATGAGTTCGCAAACAATAGTTGGAACTCTATGTCCATATTACCACCCAAAAGGTTAAAGCAATGTAAAGCTCTAATGCAAATGTTATCACAATGCCTTTCTCCTGATATAGTCTTATTGATAAACTTTTCCTATATTGTATTGCCCAAGACAATGACCTGCCACTATCGAAGACACTGATTTCTGCATTATCATAGGTATTCAAACAGAGGATGACATGTGAAAGTATTGGACCTAGAAGAAGATCTTTCTTCTTTTCTGGGAGATTCTAAACTTTAAAGTTTAAAGCAAGTTTAAACTTTAAAGCAAGTTTTCTGGGAGATTCTAAACTTTAAAAAATTATGATTATGATGTTGAGTTTGTATAAATAGATATAACATTTTGAAGGATTTTTATCAGATTACTTAAAGGAATATGACACGCCAAAATTCAGAAAGGTGGGTATAGAAAAAATTATCAAATTGTGAGAAAAAAAAAGGTAATAGTCTTTATGTTCCTTCTGGCTCTTAGAATCTCCTGTTCTTTACCCCTTAGGTATGAGAAATTTCCATTCTCATGACCAGCCTCACTCCCAAGCTCTAGAGCAATTTACATCGTAAAGATGAACCATTGCCACCTCTTTTGTTTACTCACATTGACTATACACTGACAGTAGATTTCTTATCCTCTCTGGGATGGAACTATAAACAGGATTTCTCCTTTGACATCCAACATAGGTACATGCTTTTTCTCTCTCAAAAATGACAGACTCACATCTTTACCTACCTGGTTTCACTATAGTCTTCCAGACCAAAGTCCCATGTTTTTTCTCAGTAATTTCAAGTTGGATTGGTTCCTTCATCAACCCAGCATAAAATTTAGAGAAGGGCTGGACTTCTCCAGGGTTCCTGTAGGTCAATTTCAACTCCTAGAGGAAACATAGACTTGACATGAAACAGTAGAAGGTGAAAAGGTCTGATCTCCTACAGTGAATTGACCAATGGAACTCAACCTCTATTTTCTGCACAATCTATCTCATGGCTGCTTGAGGGGAAAGGCAGAGAAAGAGGTCAACCTCCTATTAAATTTACAATTTTAGGAAATACTGTATCCCATGAAACAAAGGGTAACCTAGCTCTCAACACCACAAGAGTCAAAGCAAAACTGTCTGAGCTACTGACTGAACACAAAGGTCTTAGGTTCTGAGGCCCCTCATTAATGACACAACCACATCAGAATCTGAAGAGAGAAACCTGCCAAGGAGCCTCATCAGGTCTCTTTCAGTCTCACTGGGAAGCCAAGGGTCAGATGTGTCATTGTGATTTCAGGTCTATCTCTCTGCTTTGCAACCCACTGCCCTGTAATCCTAAGGACAGCTGACTCGGGGGATAGGAATGAACCTCTTAATGAGGAAAGAATTTAGAAAAGCTTAGCTCAAGAGGGGATGCAGATTTTGTCGAAAGCTTTTTCTGAGTCTAATAACATAATCATGTGGTTCTTGTTTTTGTTTTTTTCTGTTGTGGTTCTTGTTTTACATCTCTTTTTTTTTTTTTTTTTTTTTTTGAGTTGGAGTCTCACTCTATCGCCCAGACTGGAGTGCAGTGGCTGCTCCCGGCCACCGCAGCCTCAACCTGCTGGGCTCCGGCGATCCTTCTGCCTCAGCCTTCCAAGTAGCCGGAATTACAGGCACGCGCTACCACGCCCGGCTGATTTTTTTATTTATTATAGAGATGAGGTCTCGCTGCCCAGGCGGGTCTCGAACCCGCGGGCTCAGGCAATCCACTTACCTCAGCCTCCCAAAGGCGCGGGATTACAGGCTGAGCCACCAAGCCCGGCTAATGCACTGAACTAGTTTATGGTCTTTGGAATGTTGAACCAGTCCTACATCCTGGCAATGAAACCAACCTGGTCATTCTTAAGATGTGTTGTTGGATTTAATTTGCTAGGATCTTTATTGAGAATTTTTGCATCTATGTTCATCTAGGAGACTGGCCTGTCATTCTCTTTCCTTGTTGAGTCTTTATCAGGTTTGGGTATCAGTGTGATGTTAGCTTCATAAAATTATTTGGGAAGAGTTTCATCTTTCTTATTTGGAAAACTTTCAACAGAATTGGTATCAGTTCCTCTTTGTATGTTTTGTAGAATTAGGCAGGAAAGCCATCTAATCCAGGGCTTTTTTTTCTTTTTTTTTTTTTTGTAGATAGATTTTTTTATGGAAAAGTCAATTTCCTGGATTGTTATTGGTCCATTTAGGGTTTCAATTTCTTCTTGATTCAACCTTAGAAGGTGGTGTAATGTCAGAACGTCCTCCATTTCCTTTAGGGTTTTGAGATTATTTCACTACAGGTGTGCATAGTAATCTCTGATAATCTTTTGAATTTCTTCTGGGTCAGCTGTGACTTCATCCTTTGCATTTCTAAATGTATTTAGGCATAGAAGGAACATTCCTCAAAACAGTTAGAGCCACCTATGACAAACCCACAGTCAACATATTGCTTAATGGACAGACATTAGAAACATTTCCCCTGAAAGTGGGAACAAGACAAGGTTGACACTTTCACCCCTTCTGTTCAGCATAGTGCTGGAAGTTTCTGCTAGAGCAATCAGGCAAGAGAAGGAAACCAGGGGTATCCAAATAAGAAAAGAGAAAGTTATGCTATCCCTCTTTGCGAACATATGATACTATACCTTGAAAACCTAGGGGAGTCTGTCAAAAACCTCCTTGCGCTGATGAATGACTTTGGTAAATTTCAGAATACAAAATTTCAGGGTGCAAAAGGCAGTGGCATTTCTCTACACCAGTAACAAACAGGCTGAGAACCAAATAAAAAGCACAATCCCATTCACAATAGCCAAAAAAAAAAAGAAATGAAATACCTTGGCATCTTCCTAACAGGAGAAGTGAAAGACCTTTATAACAAGTGCTTAAACAACAACTGCTTAAACAATCAAAAAGGACACAAACAAATGGAAAAACGTTCCATGCTCTTAGATTGGAAGAATCAATATTGTCAAGATGTCCATCCTACCCAAAGGAATCTACAGACTCAAAAAAATAACCATCGAATTTCCAACAACATTTTTCTCAGACCTGGAAATGACAGTACAAAAATTCACATGGAAACAAAATAGCCAAAACAATCCACAACAAAAGGAACAAAGTGGGAGGTATCATACTTTCAGACTTTAAACTTTACTGTAAGGTCACAATAATAAAAAAAAAAAAACCTGGTACTGGTACAAGAACAGGCATATAGACAAATGGAACAGGACAGAGATTCTGAAAGCAAAAACTCAATCTCTCAACCAGCTTATCTTCAACAAAGCCATCCATAACAACCACTGAGGAGAGGAGACCTTATTCAATAAATGTTGCAGGACTGGGCACTTCATCAAATTCCTATGCTCTAGTATACTTAGAAATAGAGCCCCTAATTTGATGTTTCCAATATTCTTTGCATCTCATTCTCTGCGTCACTTTAGCCTTAGTGCCCCCAAAAAAGGCATAGAAATATTGACACCTAACCCTCCTGCTTCTCACCTCCTCCTGAGTCCACAAACAGAAATATTTCATCTATCCAAAAACAGTAAAATTGACCAGTCTTGCTATTAATTAAAGACCTTAAAATTGATTAAGATATATTTTTGCCATTCAAATCGGGAAACAATTTAATCTTGATACTTTATTCTAGACATTGTATCTTTTGTTGGACAATCTCATTCTTTGTAATTGAGAAGTTATATTGTGAGAAATCTTTGAAAACCTGCTTGGAATACGCTAACTTTAAACTGGTTAATACTCTCTGAATTAGTGATTTCACTTAGGGCTCTAGCCCACAGACAAAACATGAAAACATATGAATGGAAATATTAATATTTATTGTTATGAGAAATTGCAAGCAACTAAGTGCTAAATGAGAATGACATGCTTCAAAAAGCTCTAGGGTTTTAACTATGTGGCATATTATGTCCTATTAAAATAACATACAGGAATAATTTAAATTGCACAGAAATATATGGCAATCTCCAGTTAAAAAAAACATATACATCATATATAATATAAACTTGACTTTCATTCAACTACCTTAACAAATACATATTAAATATCTTAGTCAGGCAAGATGTCAGGCCTAGAGGGAACCACAACAGGAAAATTTCAGTTTAGGAAACTAAGTGTATAATTTTAATCATAAAATAGTACCTGATCTCAAACCAGGCAAAGTGGGAACCAAAGGGAGGCCCAAACTTTACCTGTATGATGACCACTTGTATCCCTAATCCTGAATTTTCCACCTCATCTTTGAAATAAAAAAATATAAATTCCTCAAAAAAACAGAGGAAGAAAATATTAAGCAAAGCTATGTTACACTGTGCCACAGGCTACTAGTAAAATATATTGTGTTTAAATCTATTGCATATTGTAGCATAATTTTTAAAAATAATAAAAAGTAATAATTTAAAAATTACACAAACACTAAAATGTTACCTCTACCTGTGCTCATGTTTTTAAAGTAAGCAATATAATTAATATTATTTTTCTGTATTTTCAATTTTTAAAGGGACATACTTGCAAGACCTCATCTCTACAATAAATCAAAAAAAATCAGCCGGGCGTGGTAGCGCATGCCTATAATTCCGGCTACTTGGAAGGCTAAGGAGGAAGGATCGCCGGAGCCCAGCAGGTCGAGGTTGCGGTGGCCAGGAGCGGCCACTG